GTTTTATTAATTTCGCAACATCTATTCCTAGAAATTTTACTGGAGGCGGTATTAGGTGTCCATGCAGGAAGTGTCAAAATAAAAAGTATCTGCATCCAGACGTTGTAATGATGCATCTTCTACACAAAGGTTTTATGGAGAATTACCAGTGTTGGTATGCACATGAAGAAGTATATGTTAGTGAGAGGAGAATGGAAGAAACGGTGGTTGGGTCTACTTCTAGTGCTAGCAACTAGAATGACAACATTAATCCTTACAGAAACATGGTTATGGATGCAATGAGAATGAATCAAGGTAATGTCAGTCAATGTCCAATCGTAGAAGAAGAACCTAATGTAGATGCAGCTAGGTTTTTTGATTTGTTGAAAGATTCTGACGAACCATTATGGGATGGCTGCATGAACCACAGTAAATTATCGGTCGTAGCACAGGTGTTCACCATTAAGTCAGAGCACGGGTTGAGTGAGGCCGGGTAAGACAAGATTATTGAATGGGCAAGAAGCATTTTACCTTAAGAGAATAGGCTGAAAGAGAACTTCTATGCTACGAAGTCCATGATGAAACCCCTCAGTTTAGGATACCAAAAAATTAACATGTGCCCTAACTTCTGTATGTTATACTACCTTGAAAATGCTGAGATGACCGAGTGCATGACATGTGGGCATTCCCGTTACAAACCTAGAACTGGCAGGGGAAAGACTCCAGTGGCATATAAAAAACTTAGATACTTCCCTATCACACTTAGACTGCAGAGGTTATTTATGTCACCAAGGACTGCTGAGCACATGACATGGCACCAAGCACACCATGCGGTTGATGGAGTGATGGTTTATCCTTCTGATGGCAAAGCGTGGAAACGCTTTAATAGTGTTCATCCTCACTTTTCAGTTGAATCAAGGAATGTGTGTCTTGGGTTGTGTACAGACGGATTCAACCCATTTGGGTCATTTGCTGCTCCTTATTCTTGTTGGCTGGTCATACTCACAGTTTATAACTTGCCACCAGGAATGTGTATGAGGCCAGAGTTCATATTTTTATCTACTATCATACCTGGTCCAAGCAGCCCGGGGCGGAATATAGATGTTTGTCTTCGACCGTTGATTGATGAGTTAGCGTAGTTGTGGTCCTTCAAAGCTTTGACTTATGATATATCAAGAAAACAAAATTTCCTTATGAGGGCGGCTTTGATGTGGACTATCAATGATTTTCCAGCTTATGGAATGCTTTCTGGTTGGAGGACGCATGGGAAACTCGCATGTCCATACTGCATGGAAAACAACAAGGCATTCACGCTAGCAAATGGAGGTAAAGCTTCTTTTTTTTACTGTCACCGTCGCTTCTTGCCACTTAATCATAGGTACAGAAAGAACAGAAAAGATTTCTTTGTTGGCAGAGTTGAAAAAGATGTTGCATCCCCGCGTCTTTCTAGTGAAGAATTGCATGATGTTGTCCCAGAGTACGGTGACATTGTGTTTAGCCTTCAATCAGGTAAGCAAAAGTTTACTGGTTTTGGTTTGACCCATAATTGGGTAAAGCGAAGTATCTTTTGGGAGCTTTCTTATTGGAAAACCAATCTGTTCCGCCATAACCTTGACGTCATGCACATCGAAAATAACAAATCAATAAAATAAAATAAAATAAATAGCAATTAAAAAGAATAAGGACCTAATCTTATATAAAATAAAATAAAATAAGATAAAGCATTAAGGAACACAATTGAAAAAATAATTCAATTAAGAGAATTATATAAAACATCAAGAGATGCAATTGGAAAGATAACTCAATTACAAAAATTATATAAAACATTGAGAGATATAATTGGAAACACAATTCAATTAAGAGAATGATTAACAAATCAAAATTCATCAGAAAAATAGGGATTAAATATGAAAGTGAAAAAAAAAATCAAATAAGGATCTCAATTCTATGAATTATTTAAAAAAAAAAACAAGGACCAATCTGACAGAAAAATAAAATTAAAATCAAAGGGCTACTTTGAAAATGTACAGGGAAAGACTTTAAAATCTCGGAGGAGAGATGAAAAAAAAAAATAGTCATCAATGCAAAACTTGATATATTTTAGCCACACACACCAACTATTAATGAAAGAGACACCATGAGGATTAAGATGTTGTCATGGAAATTGGAGTTTAATCATCAAACAACATCGCATCTATCATTTAAAGAACACAAGTTGTCGCAACTTACATTTTAAAAATAAATAATATTTTATATATATTAAATTATTAAATTATCCCTAGTTAGACTCAATAAAAAAAACAAAACAAAATAAAATCATAAAAAAAAATAAAAAAATTCCTCATTGATCCGAGTATAAGGCAATTTGATGTTAGGAGTATTTTGATAATTGTATTCTCCTTCTAAAATAGAGAAGGAATAATGCCCCCGCTGCTGGTGCATTATTTTTAACCTCAAAAGATACATCAGTCTTTTTGCTATCCAGCCATAAACAAAAAGATGATTATACCCCACTGCCAAGACCAATAATTATTGATAAGGACAAAATCATAATTTTATAATCCAGTCTACAGTCCCAATATAAAGCTACAGTAAAATAACTACAGCAAAACCTCTGCCGTTTTGGTTTCTTTTAATATGATGGTGACATAAATTTGTGTGTGATCTCTGCAAATTAAATTGTTGGAAAGCACGGAATTTGCATAGGGAGTTTAGTTTTTTTCCTGAGATGTTCTCTAAAATTATGCATTTCCCTTATTTTAAAGATGCAATGCACGTAAAATGGGGACCTGAAAGTGAACGTTGAAAACAAAATAGTAATTAATAATAGATTGATAGAGACAGAAATCTCATATAAAGAGAGAGAGGGAAGCTGAGAAAAAGCTAAAGCCACAAGAAACGCAAGATCCTGGATATCTTACACTGTTCATATAAAGAAAACTGACAGCTGAAAAGCACAGATCAAAGTGCTGTCTCTCATACTTTCCAACGTTGCACAAAAGACACTCACAAAGGTTAGTACTATTCTCTCTTTCATTACACAACTTCTTAGGCTGGATATCGTTTGTCTTGGCTGCATGGCTTGTACGCAGTTGATGGAATTTCGGTTGGTTGGTTCTCTGCTTTGTGTCAGTGTTTTCTTTCTTCTTCTGCTTGTCAAGGGAGAGAAGGGAAGAGGATTTTCTGTGTGTTAATGCAGTTCTTCTGGTTGTTTCTTTTAGAGTCGGTGTTTCTTGACCATTCCTACATTTTCTCAGCAACCAAGCAGGAACAGTAGGTTATGGGTTTGTAAGTTTTGAATCATGGAAAGAATTTATCATTGTCATTTTTGGTTTTTTCAGTGAGCATCCAGAAATCTTCATTCCTTTCTTTTGAGAGAATTGACTATATTTATTGTCATAACCTGACTTTTAAATTCAGCACTAAAAAGTTTTCTTTGAACTATATACTTAGAGATGAATCACATTTTGACCGGATCCATTACTTCCTCGGTTTGATTGCAGAGAAAATTAAGGAAAAATAGTCTGGATCCCCTGGAAATGATTAGATCGTTTACAACCAGGTCATGTGGCTGTTCTAGGCCTGTGGTCCCAGCTAATGAAGACATTATTGTTTTACTTAAATAAGCATGTGATGTATCGTTTTTTTTACTTTGAATGCTTTCTTGCATTGTTTATGGAAAACAATAGAAAATTAGAGTATTTCATCCCTTATCTAAGATAAGTTCACCCCTAGATAGTGCTTGAACTATAAGTTTACTGATCACATAAAAGGAAAAGGTTGGATTTGAAATGTTAGAATTCATTTCTTACGGTATCAATCATGAATTTTTAGTTGGTGGCATCTTTTTCCCTCTTGTAGAAAGATTTTTGAGCCTCGAAAATCGGAGCTGTCGAGCCAAGCTGGGAGATGATTGGAATGGAATTTGGATAGCATCGTTAGGCTTAGTGAAACTCCTCTCCCTCATAAAATATGATAAAAGTCTATTAGAATGGTGGAGGGAAAGGGTGGTTTACTAGTTTATTTATTTGTTTTGTTTATTGTTGCTTAATCTACAACTTGATAGTTCGCTTCCAAATCATCTTTAATTTTTTAATAAGGAAAGGTCATACACGCTTGTAGGCTTTGTTGGTATCAGGTGCCATAATATTTGCAAAATTCATTGTGGTGTTGGATGGTTCTGAATTTTCTTCCATGCTTCATATTAATTTATGTTCTTGAGTATCAGAGACAGCTTTCAAAGTGCCATGGGCATTAGAGACTCTGTTGGTATGTCACAAATCTAGTTTAAATGGCAGCCGCTTGCATGGCTTCACTGGTGGCCTGACTGTGAGGTTGGAGAATATTTAGTTGGTGTTTGGTAGACCTATCATACACATTCTCATAGATTATGCTGATGCTTCTCATACGATAATGAGTTTTTCCTCTTTTTTTACTGAAGAGATAGCTGCAATGATAGTCATAACCATTCTTGTCCTGAACTTCGATAATTTGTGAATCAACTGGCCTCTGAAATCAATCCGTTGAATCTTGAACTGCTTAACAGAACCTTGCTTATCTTTGAAGCCCGATGTCAGTGTGTACTAATTATTAGCTGACGTCTTGGATATGGTTGAGCAACTTTCATGTCAATATTAAACTTAAGCACATATCTCCAACCACAATAACTGCTGCATTTGCATGTTGACTAAATAGTACGGTTCTGCTTTAAATATAATGTCAGCTTGTGCCTATATTTGCAAAAAATGCTTGGTTTATTGGATGATTAGAGTCTATTCCCTTTACCAGCTACTGTCATTGTAATAATCTTTCTTGGAAATAGTGGATTAGTTTAAATTTCGATGGGAAATTATAACTCATCATGACTAGATTTCTGTCTTCCTTTTGTGTTCTTGGTCTCAGTGGTTGAAATTTGACCGTTTATCTTTGCGAGTTTGTAAAAGACAGCACATAATCAAGCTCAGTCATTAATTCAATCTATAACTTTGTGAATTACTAGGTGGTGTTTTAAAGTAGTACAATTGGCATGATCCTGCTGATTGCCAAGAATTCTTATGAGTGACTGGTGCTAGTTGTCTTCATGGGTTGCTACCATTCAAAGAGAACTAAAAAGACACCTGGGTACGAGGAGCCAACAGTTCTTGCTGCTGAAACACCCTGTGAGTATGCTTTGTCGAAAGGCTCATTGTTGCAAATTCCTGGGTGTAAATTGCCCCTATTAATTCCTAGCTATGCTTCAATATGTTCCAGCTATTTTTCGACTAGTGTTGTTTCTAGTCTTATCTTAGGACATCTTAGTAGGTAATCTATCGTGCAGATTAAACTAGTTGTCAGACATGAAGTTCAGTTTGTTGGAGTGTGTAGTAGATGGGACGGTTTGTGTCACCAACCTTTGGTGTGGTTGGTCACTAAAACAAAAGACAATTTTATTGGCACTGAAAGGCATAAGAAGCATGGAAGTCATGTTGTCAGGGAAAAGGAAAGAAAGAAAAACAATGATGCTGTTCCTAATCACTAGTTTGAGTGTCAGCTAGTTACTGCCCGCCTATTTTGGTTGTATTTCCTGCTAAAAATATTATTTGGTATCAAGTTCAAAAACAACTGTTAACTGTGTGAGCTGACTGATGAAATGTGAAATAATTTTGTATTGCAGTTCCAGTTAGCGAAGTAGAGGCCTTGTATGAACTCTTTAAGAAACTAAGCAGTTCAGTCATTGATGATGGGCTTATTCACAAGGTATGGGTATTCGGTGGGATTTGAAGTGGTTTATGGAGTATTTTGATCTAAGTATGTTTGCAATTAGGACTTAATTAATTTGTGCTGATATCATTCAAATGGCTCTTTCTTCTCATCAGGAAGAACTTCAGCTTGCACTATTCAGGAACAAAAACAAGAGGAACCTTTTTGCAGACAGGGTATGTAGTGCAACCTTTTTCCAATAATATAGCAATAGTTACCTGATTCCATGGCATTTTCCCTTTTTCCTAAGTTGCTTCGCCTTGCCATACTTCTGCAGACTTCTTATTTATTTGATGTCAAGCGCAATGGAGTAATTGAGTTCGGAGAATTTGTTCGATCTTTGGGTGTCTTTCATCCAAATGCACCAGTTGAAGACAAGATCCATTGTACGGCTAATGTTTGTCTAGGATGAAATACAAGTAGGAATGAGTTCTCACACACATGTTTTCTTTTGCATGTCAATTGGGACTTCTATACACCATAAAAACTGGAAGTTAGTCACTCAACCATTTTTTGCACATGCTACTGAATAAATTACTAATGAGCGGAGAAGTTTCTGTAGTTGCTTTCAGATTATATGATTTACGGCGAACTGGTTTCATTGAACGAGAAGAGGCGAGTACTGCAATTCATTTCTATACCATTTCTCTTTTACATACCATATAGTGATGCATGCTGATGATTGTGGACATGTTTTGGTTTATTGTTTTGTTCTTTCTGTTAAAAATTCCCCATTACTAATCCAGAAGTGGCTATAGTATGACAATATATACCATCAGAGAATTAAGAGGAATGTAATGAAAAATCAAAATAATGATCCAGCATTGTATATCTGTTTCCGAATGTGAATTCTGGCTCATAATTTCAAGTTATTTAACAGTTGAAGGAGATGGTAATGGCACTTCTGCATGAATCTGATCTACTGCTGTCCGATGACTTTGTTGAAAAAATTGTCGACAAGGTACAATTTTTTTTTTCTGTGTCAAACTTCCTTGTTCATGCTTATTCGGTTCATTATTCTAATTTTTTTCTTGAGTTTTTCCACAGACATTTCGTGATGCAGATTTGAAAGGTGATGGAAAAATCGATCCTGACGAGTGGAAGGAATTTGTGTCGAAGAACCCTTCTCTTATAAAGAACATGACTCTACCTCATTTAAAGTGAGTAACTGTTGTGTATGGTCCCACACCATGTGATGGTGGGACCATCACATTAAATGTCATGTGATGGTTGTCTCTTAGTGTTAAATGTCATGTAAATCTTCCTCGTGGGATCGATCCCTTGCTTGCTCTATACTATCTTGTGTGTTTTAAACTAGGGTAATTAATTTGTGGAAGCAAGGGATCAATCCCACGAGGAAGATTTAGTTTAGATTTTTATGCTATACGTTATGCAATTGGGGGGTTTTGATTTGTGATAATCTAAAATATGGAAGAAATTAAACTAGTGAACACGATCAATTAAAACTGAAATTTATCAAGAAAACAAACCTTGGTCACAAGCACACATCCACCTACAGAAATCAGAACCGATCCTTGAAACAAAACTCCAGTTTATATTCTGAATTTTTATCTTTTCTTAACTTTGGTTAATTAACGGATCCGCCGTATAATTAGCCCTAACCAACAAATAATCACAGTGTCCGCACTAATGATTTAATCTAATGGCAGCCTTAAGATCTAGATAAATTCATTAATCTTAACAACCAAGTTGTCTGCTTGTGTTGCTTTGATCGAATGTTTTCCCTAAGTTTAATAACGTAGTTCCGCCACAATTATCAAGCTTAGTTGCTTCACAAGTTTATATACCCTAACTCCGGTTTTGATACCAAACTTAGCAATAGATTGTTCACAATAATAACTTAGAGTCCGCTCTAGCAATTATCAACAACAATCATAGAAAATATGCATAGGAAAACAATCATACTCATTCATAATACAAACTGAAAATAAATGGAAGAATAAATCTCATAGTTCTTGAAATCTGAAAGTTTCTGCGTCCTTGCAACCAAGAAAAGAGCTTAGCCTTGCATATCTATTGAATAACTACTCCTAAAGATAAAAGAAAGCATTATTTCTAGTATGTAGAGAGGAGAGTTTGTGTTTCTTCACTTCTGGCTGCTACCACCTTTCTTTGATTCTATTGCACTCCCTCCTCTTCTTTCTTGGCTCTCTTGGTGTCTATATATAGGCTTCAATGGCAGCTCCTCTTGCTTCTTTATCAATAATGGTGGCTGTCAAACATGCCAAACTTTGACATTAGTAGTCACCACAAACAACCCATCATTGTAGCCTCCTTCTTTGACAATGGCAGCACTCCAACTTGCAGCTGGTTTGTGGTTGGTGATTTGAGGTTGGTGGATTGAGGTTGGTGGCTAATTTTCTTGACCTTCTAGATTGATTTACTAGAGGGGCTAAATTGCTGAAATTATAACTTGGATGATAGTTTAGAAGCTTTGAAACATAATTTGGACTCATTTCTTCACGAAACCTGATTGCTGGCAGAATTTAGTTGTCATCTTTGAAAAATCATATCGCCCTCATCTGACATCGTTTTTGGCTTCAAATTGGAGCGTTTCTATAACTTTGAGTCATGAATCCAACAAAATTTATTTTGCATCAATTGGACTTCTATAGCTCCAGATATGTAATTTTGAATGGACAAAGGTCAATAGTGGCAGAATACGAGATTTGACTTTGAAGGATGTGATTTCCATGATCTTCCTCTTTGTATTTTTCTTGCATTACATTTCCAGAAAGGTATGGATGTTAGCTTTTTATAGCCACTGGAATCACTTCATTTTGATCTCTAGAAATCACGCTCTGCACAAAACATCGACTGAACATCAAATCTGCCAATTATCTCCAATTTACTCATTTTTGCATTTTTCATCCAAAAGTGCCTTCAAAACATAAAACAAAGAATATCAAGGCATTTTACATATAAAACATGGATAAAACATTAGGTAAATGTGGGTGAAACAATCGAATAATATGGTTACATCAAATACCCCCACACTTAGCTCTTTCTCGTCCTCGAGAAAGGATAAATAAAATTAAATTGAAAATAACCATGATCAATCTCTTAATCTCCCATCAATGTCCAAGAGTACAAGCATTATAAATAAGAATATAATAAAAAAGAATAAAATAAATAAATTTTTATGAATTTGTTTACATGCAAACTTCAAAATTCAATCAATCATCGGTATTTAAATGAAATCTATGTCATGCCAAAGTGATAGGTCCTCTCATTGATATACACTCCAACACTCATGTGTTTAGGGTTTATGTGTCTAAATCTCTCAAATTCAATCAAAGAGTATGTTCTACCATAAGCTTGCTTTTCAATCTCATCTCCATTATTAATATATTACAAACAATGCATGAATCAAAAGGTCTTATTTTCCAATTATAATTGGGCTAAGGTTAAGGTGAGGTAAAAGAGAGTAAAAGAAAAGGTTCAAATCAAAGAAAGTAGAGCATTCCGAAAAATGATATTTCAAACAAGATATTCCATCAAAGCTCATAAATTTTTCATCTTTAATCGCCAATGCTTAACTGCTTTTGTTTTTAAGCATAAAATCTTAAGAACATAAAGGAACATTTTTTCTTCTTCTTTTTTTTTTTTTTGTAATTTTGCCCATCTTTTCATCAAGCATCACTTCTTCTGTCTTTTCACATAATTTCCAACCATAATTTCATGAAATATCACAAGTATATGCTCTACTAATCCTTGGCCAGGGGAAAAGGAAAACATATATAAAGTTAAGGCTTATACATGGATAAAGAAAAGATAAATAAGCTCAAAAGGGGCTCACTAAGGATAATATGTTTTAGGTTGGCTTTTTGGTTCAAGTGATTGAAATTCCTAATGCCTTTATCATCTTCATGTATATTTGTAATGGAATATAATCTCAATAAGATATGAAGCAAGTTCTAAAGATACATATCATTGAAAGAATGCACACTTAAAGAATACAATGTTGAAGGCTCAAAAACTTGCAGTGGTATAACACTATAAAATCAACATGGCATATTCTCAAAGTCAATCCCTAAACCAATTAAACCTTAAAATTTGCATGCATACTCTTTCATTTGATTTATCTCTTCATCTATCTCAATTAATTCTCATATATAATACTCATATTCTCAAAAACCAATGGGAGTTAAAAAGATCAAACATAATTTTATTTTATTTTTTGTGAACAACAAAGAAAACTAAAATAAGAAAATAAAAATTCTCCCAATACCCCCACACTTAAAACACAACATTGTCCTCAATGTTAAAATAAAAGCAAAGGAACATAAGAGAATGGCAGAAAATAAATTAAAATACAAAAAAGTAAAAGATAAGGAAAAAGAAAGCAAATCTGATATATATTTTTTTTGTGCTGGGTGGCCTCCTAGTAAGCGCTTTTATTTTATGTCATTGGCTTGACATGTGGCATGCTCATTCTTCATAGATTGGTTCAGCTAACTCTACAGAAGCGGTGAGTTCTGCCGTCCAACCTTCATAGAAAGGTTTCAAACGATGTCCATTGACCTTGAGTACTTTGCTGGTTTCTAAACTTGTAATTTCAACTGCACCATAAGGAAAAATATTAGAAACAACAAAGGGTCCAATCCAATGAGAGCGCAATTTTCCAGGAAAAAGTTTTAAACGCGAATGATAAAGAAGGACTTTGTCTCCAACATGAAATTCCTTTCTTGTAAGCATTCTGTCATAAAGATTCTTAGTCTTTTCTTTGTAAATCCTTGTATTCTCATAAGCATCATTTTGTTTTTCTCTCAACGTGGTGGCAGTCCTTTTGGGTACCAAAAGGATAGACGCCACCCATTCACTGTCCGCGATGGGGGGAATGACTCCTGCATCATGAAGGATAATTTGCGAAGCTTGTAAAGCCAATGCTGATTCATGCACATTTTGGGGAACACATATATGCCTCTCCATCTCTTCTATCTTGGTAAAATCATAGCCATAGCTCAAAGTTATGCTTAATCCATCTTCGCTATCAAAATCACAAACCTGCTGCATACACTTATCAACTTGGTCATAACATGTGATAGAATAAACATTGTTATAAGGATATGTCATTGCATCATGAAAATTAAATTCAATCTTTTCATCTCCTACCTCCATAGACAAAGTATCCTTACCACAATCAATCTTTGTATTGGCAGTTTTCAAGAATGGTCTCCCAAACAATATAGGAGTGCTGGTTAATAAATCACAAGAATCATGTTCCATATCAAGAATATAAAAATCACATGGAATAACCAAACTATCAATCTTGACTAGGACATCTTCTATCACACCAAGTGGGTAAACAAAACTACGATCTGCAAGTTGTATTACAATGCTAGTTTCATTCAAAGGTTCCAGACTAAGAGAATCATAAACATGTTTAGGCATAACACTAATGGATGCACCTAAATCACATAAGGCTTTTTTAAAACTAACATTACCAATAACACATGGGATAGTAAACGCACCTGGGTCCTTTTGCTTTAAAGGCATATTCTTTTGAACAACAGCAGACACAACTTCACCCATACTTACCATTTCATGACCTTTCAGTTTGAAAGCTCTCTTGGTAGTACACAACTCCTTCAAAAATTTGGCATACTTGGGAATTTGTTTGATAGCATCAAGCAAAGGAATGTTGAGTTCTACTTTCTTGAAAACCTCTAAAATTTCTTTTTCTTTGTCCTCTTTCTTTGACTTAGAAGAACTCACAGGAAAGGGTGGAATTGCTTTAAAACTGGAATTCATTGAGTGAGGAGTTACCTTTGGAGTGTTGGTCGTTGTTTCAGTTTGGAAAGGAGAAGGATGTTTCTTCTTTGTATTCAATTCAGTTTCTATCTCTTCTTCTTCCTCCATCTCAATCTCTTTCGACCTTTTCTCTTCAAGTTCTTTCCCACTTCGCAACATGATCGCACTAACATTTCAATCTCTTTCGACCTTTTCTCTTCAAGTTCTTTCCCATTTCTCAGCATGATCGCACTAACATTCTCTTTTGGATTCAATGCCTGGGAAGGCAATTTTCCATTCATTTATGCCTCCAATTTCCTTACACTTGAAGCTACTTGCCCCATTTGCTTCTCCAAGTTGTGAATACTTGACCTTGTTTCCTGTTGAAAAGACATGACATTTTGTT